ACTATCCGTCACTAACCCCCGACCAACCATGCTTTCGGGATCTCTCGCCCCTTTCACTGCCAAACGAGAGGGGGAAACTCCAAACTCGTACAGAGCCGTATGTGTATGTACTCACAACCCACTCCCCGGCTCCTGACAAGCCGCGCGCCCAGCTCGTCGTGTTCGATATGTAGAGAAACTAGGGTATCCACAAAGAAAAAGTCATTACCGCTTTGGCTCCACGGGCCCGTGGCCCGTAGCTCATGGCCTCTGGCGTGCGGCTCAGAGCTCGCCCCCCCCCCTTCTAGGCTTAATTGGCCTTACTGAAGCGGCGCGAGAACCAACTCTTTCTCTTTTCGCCAACGTCTGGTCGTGATTGTGTGCTTTGCTGCGTGGTCTGCTTGCGCAACATGCCGCCTCCCATCTTTTGGGGCACCGCGGGCGGCGCATCCGAGTTCGAGTTTGTCATGGGGGCGGGGCGGTAGTTGGCGCCGCTGGGGCCAGCACCGTTCGCGCCCGAAGCATAATTGTTAAAGGCGGCAGGCTGATATGAGCCTTGTTGGTTGAAGCCGATGCCATAGTCGTTGGTCGGCTCCGCACGCTTCGCAGGTGACACTCGATCAATGGAGCTGTTGTCACTACTTGTCGGGTCCGTCTGGTAGCCGGCCTGTTCGGAGTGACCGCTGCCTGCTGCTGTTGTGACGGTTTCGTATGAGCGGTCCTTGTGGGGGATTGGGTAGACTTGTTGCCCGCCACGGCCATAGCCGTTCATGGGTTCAGAATTCATTCTCGGTGCCCTCTGACGGCTGGGCCCAGGCCCGTATCCACCCTGGCCATACGAGCCATCGAAATAGCCGGAGCGATTGGGGCTGTTGTAGTCCATATGCGTACTCTCAGGCCGCACAGAGTTGGGACGTCCACCATAGTAGCTGTCCTGGGGGTATCGAGCGCCGTTGTCTAGATTGGTGTTAGCATGAAAATCGTCCTCTTGCAGGACCATGTGAAACACGTACTGCCAGCATAATAACTGCTCCGCCGACCATATTGCGGGGTTGATTCAGTGTCTACGTCATGGCAAGTTAGGACATGAAATCTATGTAAGACAGTATCGTGACCTGACGTACCTGATCGTATCATGGACTTGCGCGAGTAGCCTCCGTCAATGGCCGCCTCAAAGCTACGGATAGTATCCAGAGGCCGCTCCCAGCGGCTGCGCGTAGGGTTCGAACGGTCGGGATCGGCTGGCGTGGTGTTAGCTTGCTGTCTTGGGTTGATTGACCCGGGCGGGTGGCTCACCGATTGCGTTGCCATAGGAATCTCTGTGCTGGATAGCACGAAGAGGTGCCAGAGAGGACTTGGTCATTGCCTGGACGGCCGCTGTTGATGAGTTAGCATCAAGCAAAGGGCGATCGATGGCCTGCTGCAGAATCGGACTCACCTGGCTCGGCTTCGCTGATGGCCATGGTGGGGTCGGCTTTGCTATGTAGACGATGGGATTCT